CTGAACTACGGTTGATGGTATAAATCCTGTAGTACCCGCAATAATAAGGAAGATACCATAATTCCCATAGTTTAGGGTCCTTAAGGTAATGCAGGATCTATATCATCAACATTACCAAGGTTGGCATTTCGTGATGAGTTTGGACCCGCCTCGTCCTTGGCAGAGCCTTGAACGGCGAACCCGAAACTTTGCTAGCTCCACTCCGCTTACAAGTCAAAATCGCTCCAGGTGTAGGTCGAAACCGGCCAGTCTTATCTTCATCTCTGAGATCGGGAATCAGCGACCCAGACAGGAAGCAGCGGTGATTCCGTGTCGTGCTTATTTACGCACATGCGACTCAGCATTTCATAACTTCATAACTGCCTGAAGCTCTGAAGAGGCCTTTGCTCACCAAAGTGCTGGAGCTTGAAGCGACATGTCTCCAAGCCACTGTCTGACATTCTGAACCCCAAACCGTTTGCGCCCCACTCGACAAAACAAAAACAAAACAGCACAAGATTGCGATTGTTCTCCCGGCAGGCCCTGAGGAGACAGCGAGGCTCGTGGAAAGTCTGTGCGGGGAGCCATAGGTCCCAATCCTACCGAAGCCGACCCAGTCCACCCAACGATGCTGCAGCACAACACCTTCAGCTCTATGAACATGTCGACTGTACTCTAGAGGCCTGCAAAGACAGAGCGTGGTACCCTGCTCTACTCCTCGCTTAGGAGGTATTTGGGTTTTAAGCCGAGCAGAACCACGAAAGCCTTGAGCTCTGAATCTGGACCCTAAGCCCTAAACCCCTCTCTGGAGTACGACGGCCACTTCAGAGCAAAGAGCCTTAGAAGCCGACAAAACCCCAAAACCGGTTTAGTTGCCATGATGCTGCCGCAGGATTGCCGAGGCGCGCACACCTGACTGGGGACGTGCACTTTTCATTCAGCCTTGTTTAGATCTAGGCTGTACCATATGCTGTACCAATGTCTTGTTGTTGGCTCAGGGATTTTGGCTCATGGAGGCTTTTGCAGATTCACCGCTGCACCGGTGTCCCTGTGATCGCCTTCCAGGTTGATAAGTATATTCTCTCTTCTGTAAGGTGCAGGATTATTGTGATGTTGAGGGCTTGAGGCATGTAAGGTTTCTTGGAACCGTGGGCTCTCTAGCTACAAAGACTTGTCGTACACATGGAGACATGTTGGTCTGTTCTATGCCTTTGCGGCTAACTCCAAGTGCATCGATGTCTGATGAACTTTGGTTTCTTCCCCCCACCGTAATCGATGTCTGATGAACTTTGGTTTCTTCCCCCCACCGTAAAAGATCCGCTATAAAGCGTTGGCTTTGTAGCGTCCCCACGCCTCATGTGATGCCCTGGCTCAGTCATCAGGGTGTTTAGTCAGCTCCTAGGAGGCCCAGAGCCGATCTCAGAGAAGCTTAGAACCCGAACTCCTACACGTCCAGCTCGAAGCCCACAGACCCTGAACCTCCTAAGCCACCCCAGCCCAAACTCCCAAACCCCCTAAAACATACCCTATTCGAATATTCAAAGGATAGCAGGCCCGTATCTCCGTGTTCTCAGCTTTGGCTCGAGGACACTGGCTCGGAGCCGTATCCCAAAAGTGGGGTCGACTCAATTCCCCTAATCTGGGATTAGCGCTTAGGATGAAGGAGCTTCATGATGCAGTGGCGATTGTAAGTTGAGCTCAGTATATGTCTCGGAATCGTAGAAGAACGGTTCGCCACAACATCGGCTGACCAAGGGCAGCCGATAAGATTGGTCCATGAACAGGTGCTTTGTGAGCAAATTCCTTGACACCTGCAGCTGGATAGTCGCAAGTGCTGTCGCTACTGTAGCTAGGTATTCGTTCCTGGCGGGCTGAAAAGGCCTGCGAGGAAATCTGCAGTGACAGCACACATGGCCCGCTGTGTTGACGATGCTGTCAGAGACTTACAAGGATTTCTCAGCAGCTTTGAGTCCAAGGCTGTCGGATACAGGCTTCAGAGTATTTAGGGCTTTTTCCAAGCTTCGGGACTTGTAACGTTTGCAGGGTGTAGCTTCGGGTGGCTCCACGAGGCCAATCGAAACCCGCTAACACCCGAAGTGCACGTTGAAGCATGGCATCCCGTTTTCGTGTTGGGCTTATATAAGCTGTGCCTATGTGCAACTGTTCGGACAGCTCCCCGCCTTCCGAAAGTTCTATATTCGAAATCATACAACTCCTGAGCTTGAACTCGGAACCCGAAGCCCTGAGCCCAAAGTCCTCACCCCTGATACTCTACTGGCGCTTTGAAAACGGAATTCAGAAAGCTCCAGAGGCCCGACACCTCTGAAAAGGCTTTATATTTATAATTAACTAATGCATCAAGTTATCAGCATTTAGGCTTTTAGGGTTTAGGCGTGTTGGGGTTCTGGACTTAGGTCTAAGACAAAGCTTAAACCCACAAACTTGTGCAGGTTTGCTACACCAGAAAGTTCACTAAACCCTCAACTCCTAAACCCTGCATGCGTCAGCATAATGCCCTGAAAAGCTCCCTATACTAAACCCCTTTTCGAAAGGCCTGGAAGGAGCATGTGCGTCGACTCCAGAAGTCAGAAATAGCCAGGCCGGCATTGCAGCTTTGGGCTCAGTTTACTATTATCATGAAGTATTAGTATTCTGAGTATTATTATGAGTATTGCTGTTATTATTCTGGTTGTGCAGGGCTTCCTGGTGACTGGTGTGGTCTGGGGTGAAGTGTTTATAATTTTGGGTCTTGGGGTTCAAGGTCTGGGCTTCAGCGCTTCGTCACCTTCCTTCATGCGTTGGGTTTGGGATTTCCAGTTCAGGGCTTAGGGGGTTTAGGGTTTTAGGGTTTAGGGTGACGGGTGGCTCTTGTTTGGCAATTTTGGGCAGGCTTGATTAGTTTATAATGGTTTGCACAGTTGACAAGATTCCGGGCTGCAGTTGTTGGAAGGACTTGGATGTACAGCGAAAAGGGTTAGGATGTTTGGGCCTAGCATGGCGTGGAGTGTGGTGCAGGTTTAAGGCTCAAAGAGCGTGCCATTTCTGCTTGATGCGTTAATCGAGTTTGGGTCGCGGTGTGCTCCCTTAATTATGGAGGTCCATAGCACCTAAGAAACTTGGCAAGGCCGTGCAATAAGTAGGTAGGGTTGATATGGATCTGCCCGTCGAAATCCTCGCAGGACAGGTGACCTCGAAGTCATCATCGACAAGGACCGGCGCTGTCATCACGGCACCGAGCTGTCCCATGCGTGCCACTGTTACGACCGTTCTTGCCATTGCTGCTACTGCTGCCACCACTGCAAAATTGCAAAGATCGTGAATCGCCATGTTCTTTGTTGTCATTGCCGCAAAGAGTGCCAGGATTGCCGGTCACAGGAGTGTTGCTATGACAATGAATTCGTGGCACGGTTGTTGCTACTATCAGCACCACAACCGTTGTTGCAAGTACACTTGGTGTGTCTTGTAAACCCGGATGCATTATCGTCTCAGCAACCCCGACATTCAGCAAGCGCGAAGCACGGAACTTTCATGCTGTATTTCGTTTGTATCCGGCGACTTCCCTGCTGCAGACAAGTTAGCTGGTGAATCTTCGTCATGGTCACGCTGTGAATCTTCGTCATGGTCACGCGGGCTTCTAGAAGCACGACTTGAGGGTATAGTCGTTGAATCAACGGTTGCTTCCTCAACATGCAGAGAATCTACAGGACAGGGTTGTAAGTGTTGATGTACTGCTTCTCTTCAAGCATTCTGCGAATAGCAAGTGCTAGTATGTCGTGATCTATGGGCCAGATACATTCTTGGAGGACAACCCTTACGCCTCGGGGCCAACGCCCTACTTTGCGCGAGGCCTCCCTAGCAGTGGCCTAGCTGAAGAGGGGTGGATTTTGCCGATGTGCATGTGTGTGTATGTGTAAGGGTACTGTGTTTTACATACATATGTATGTATATAGATATATACATACATACATACACGCACATTCTACAAATGTACGTGTATTTATATATATATATATACACATGCACACGCATAGACCGTTACACGGATAGACGCATACATAGCAAGATATCCAGACACATAGACAGATAGACTAGACAGACAGGCAGACAGACAGACAGATAGACAGATCGGCAGATAGGTGGATGGATAGATAGACGGACAGGCAGACGAATAGACAGATCGATAGATATGTGCATGTATGTAAGTATATTTATATATACTATATATAGCATATGTAGTTGGTGATATATGTATATATATATATACATACATGTACACACATGTACAATGTACATGCCTATTGCGCCCATGTGCTTGTAACAACGCATGTGCTTGCGTGTATAGGTGCGTTGATGCATGTGCACATACATGCATGCCCAATCGTCCGTCTACATCGGAGGATGCACGAAACACAGCTTCAATCAAATCCCTAGACCCGAATTCAACAGAGGAGCATATCAAAGCAGTGTTTACACAAGATCAGATGCTGTAGCTAACGACTAAGTACCCATGAATCGCTGCTTGTTGGATGGATCACTCGGGAGCCTTTGGCCTGAAGTAACATTTTCACAAGAGTGGCGCGGAGGTTTTGAGTTCGAGAGTTTGGGGAGAGCGTCTCTCAGCCGAGGCTTTCTCAACGACTCGTCGAAGGCTTTCTTGCAGACGGCCCTTTCTATTCCTAAGGGTTGTTAATTTTAATCTTTGGAAAGATGGTTGCACTGAGTGCTGGAAGCCCCACTCTAGTTACAGGACCCAACTTAGTTGTTTCTATCGCTAGTGCCGCTAGTGCTCGTGGTAGAAAGGCAGTCGTAAGCCAACCCTTGAAGCCTTGCCATCTCTTGGAATTCAAGCTGTTGCCGTTCAGGGCTTCCCCCACAGACTCCGGCGTAATGCCTCTCTGGCCAGTACCCCGCAGGGAAGAGATGTCGGCAGAGATCTCTCTTCTCTTCTTCCCTCGAGATTCAGAAACGATGTGCAGGAATCTCGATGAAACCTGAGGTTTGGAGAGTTCTTAGTTGGTGCTATAGCACAAGGCCTCGAGCCACATCTTATCACCACAGCAGGATGCTGTAACATATGGGCCGTAATCATGCTCAGTAATTAGAATAGTGGGGAAATTCAAGGCCCATACAGTAATATTGTAATTCTGTGGGCCTCTGCAATGGAGTGAACCATCATCATCACATCAAGTCCCCCGAAGCCCAAGCCTAAAGACCCGAAACTTGGAACCCAAGACGTTAAGCCTGAATTGCTGATACCATTCCTCTGGGATCCTATGATGACTATAGTGAACTATGCACTGAAACCTCATTTTCATAATTAAGGCCCCTGTGTCAGTGGGGTTGGATGTGCGTCGGAATAATTACAGATGGTATCCACTTACAGACTGACAGTCCCCGTATTCGTACAAATATAAATAGTCGAATAAATATATATATATATATACATATATATACACATATATATAATATATATATATATACATATATATATATATGTATAAGTACACACACGCACACACACAAAGTTATACATAGAAAATAAATATAGACACGAGCATGCATATATGAGCATGCATTATGCGTATGAAGGTATGTGCATGCATATATGTATATATATATATATACATATATATGTACACATACATACATACATGCATACATACATACATACATACATACATACATACATACATACATACACACACACATATACAGGTAGATAGATAGATAGATAGATAGATGGATGGATAGATAGATAATAGACAGACAGATAGATAGATAGATGGCGAGAGAGAGGGAGACAGCTATGTATACGTGTATATATATATATATGCATATACATATAAATATATATATATATAGAGATAGAGAGAGAGAGAGAGAGAGAGAGAGAGTAAGGCTCCTATGTTACCCTGTCGTCCCTTTGCCCAGACGCGGATGCTCTTGGCACCTGCGACGGATCCAGGTCGCGCCTCGAGCTTTCAGGATAGCTTAACACACATGTAGTGTTTAGTGTTTAGGATTCAGGCTTTGGGGGTTGGGGTTCAGGGTTAAGGGTTCGGGGTTTACATTTTACATAGGTTAACAGGCAATGCGCGGTTCAGGGCGGGATCTGGGACTTCCTAGGGCTTTAACGTCATTGTGGGGTTCAGACACTTGGGGTTCGGGACCCTCGCATGTCGGAGGCATGGGGGGTTTGGGAATTCGGGATATGGGGTTTAGATACTCGCCGTGGCCTTGTTACTCGGGGGGTTCGTGATCAAGGCACTTGTCTTTGAGTTTAAGGGCAGCAAAGCTTTCAAGTCTTGCAGTTTAGGACTTACTTAGTCAAGCCATACATCAATGTAAGCCTAAACCCACCCCACAGTAGTAAACATCATGTTTTACAGACGATGGACCCAAACCGTCCCTCTGAGCCGCCAGGCCGCTGGCACGCCTGGCAGAGTACCGGCCGGCAAGCAGGCCTGGGTTTCGGCTTCCTGGATTTCGAGGCTTAAGGGCTTCTTGTCGAATCTAACAAAAAACAAACTTCTATACTGTACTATGTGAAACAAGACAAATGATACTAGACTATACTATATATATATATATGGGTTTGGGGTTTGGTATGATTCGTATGGGTTGGGATTTAGCTTCAACCCTCAACCCCCAGGCCCAAAGCTCCGAACCATTTTAAGCACCTTATTTGCTGAACCCCAGCCCTCGCCGACCGGAACCAGCAAAAAGGCGACAGTCTTTCAGCGGGTTTAACAGTTAGTAGTATCCCCTTATAGTCCCTACAAAACTCCGCTAGAATGCGCCCGCCAAACCTTCAGAAACGATTAAAGTTCAGGAAGCTCAGAGAGCAAAGTTTTGGTTCGAAGTCAACAGACTCCAACCCCGCAAACTGCAGAATCCTGGCCCCAAACTCAAGTACTACTTAGGGGTACGATAAGTTGACCATAAGATAAGAGTTCTATGAGGGTACTATAAGTAAGGTCACCTCTCAGACTATCTATGCGAAGGTTCTACCCTTCTTCCTTACACAGTCTTTGTGTCGGTCGTTGGGTTCGGTGAGGCTGGTCCGAGTTCGGATTTCAGCCGGTGTATGGGCAAAATGGGATCAATCAGCTATCTCGGATCGGTCCGAAGTCTTACACACCTTTCTACCTCGGAATGCTGGAGCTGGAAATCAAGCCGAAATCATCTGCATGGCAGGTACTGGAGTTCTTCTACAGTACTTGTAAGTAAGCGCCGATAAGCCCCGGGATCCCAGAGCCTCAGATCGGAAGAGTCCTTGAGACTCCCAACAGAGAGCATCCCTATACCCGAATGTAGCACGGCGACGTGCGAGGCGTCCGACCCAGGGCACCAGCAGCTCCCAAGGAGAGCCCTTCCGGATTGAGGGGATTTTGCCTTGGTTTTGGGATTCAGCCACGGTGCTGCTGTTGTTGGTATTGCTGTCCAAAAGACGGAATACACTGTTTATAATGTTGATGCTGGTGCTCTACACTGCAAGAAGGAGCTTGCAGAGCGACTTCTGCCGGAATCCACGGCGATGAGGTGGGCAGACCCAGATTTGTGATTGTAGTCGGAGATCGTTTGGAGGGCATCAGGTTTCAGGGTTCTTGGCGCAGCAGGAGTAGCAGCCGCAGCAGCAGCAGCAGCAGCAGCAGCAGCAGCAGCAGCATGAAAGGGAGAACTAGTCGTAGCATCGGTGGTTGTTGTTGTCATTGGAGTAGTGGTAGCAGCGGCTGAAGCAGCAACGGCAGCCGGAAGCAGGACTAGGCGAAGGTTTGAAGCAATTGGCATCGCGACAGCTACTATCCCACGACTCGCTACATCCTTATCGACCTCAAAGCAGAAAATCCGCAACCCCAAACCGCCATGCCTGCCGCCCCACTCACGCTGCGAAGTTTCGAACCTTGAAGACCCCGTCAACCCTGAGTCCGAGAACATGACGACCCACATTCATCCATTCTAGGCGCTCGAAATCCCGAATCCTACAAACGAATTACCAGCCCTAAGCCCTAAACCCTACGTCTTACATCTGGTCTGAAAGTCCAAAACACGTCTCCACCGCCCCAAACCCTGTGCCGCAAGCTCACTTGGTCCGAGGCGACCGTCCACGACAGGGGCCTGGCTCTTGGGGGGCTTCCGATTTTCTGGTTTCATGCTTGTTTCAAGTTGTTTTATGCTTTTGAAACAGGGCTTTTCGTGGATGCAGCGCGTGCGTACTGAAATGTAACGTGGGGTTTCCCGGTTCTGGCTTCGGAGAGAAGTTGAGGAGTTGGGGGTTTGGAGTGGGTTCCGGGGATTTGGGATTAGGACGAGTGTTAGACTGATCCAGGAGTTGTGAGTTTGTGGTGTTCGAGGTGTGTTGCGTTTTTTTGCCTTCTCTCCGCTGGTGCGGCGTTATTTTTTTTCTCTGTCCAGTGTGGACCCATGCTGCTCTGATGTCGTTCAGGCCGAGACACCTTAAATGCCTAACCGGCCCCTCGCCCTATTGGCCATATCGTCGGTGGTAGTAGGGGTGTCGCATTAAAGACTTAGGGCAAGAGGGACGTACAAACCCAACAGGATCATGATGTTAGTTTGTCCCTAACCCCTAAGTCCTCAACTCTAAACTCTAAACTTTAAGCCTCAGCATGATCCTGATACCTGTTGTTGTTTGCAGTCTCTGCTGCAAGGTCGACATGACGACGCCGTGCACTTACATGGCTAGTAGGTAAGGGCCGTGGTTGACCTTCGTAGGCTTGGAGCTTCTGGTTGAGTGGGCCGCTCTCAGTTACACTCCCTGGTGTAGTATACTCCTTGAGGTACTGGAGAATCGATTCCACGGACGTTCCCCCGAACCCCACGATCATATGAGTCTTGATTGCCGCCAAGTTTGGGAGCACAGACAAGTATGACGATTAACCAACAAGCACCATGTTTCTGTACCCATCACTGCAATTCGTTGTATGTATGTAAGTATGTATATGTTTCTGTACATGCGTAGATGTGCATATATATATATGTATAT